CGGGGCATTTTTGGCGGATTACTTCCGGTGAAACTCTGAGCGCTCCTAGGGTTAAGACACTGTCGAGAGTTCAGTCATAAACTAACATGCAACCAAAAAACAAAACAAACAAAAATAAACCCAACAAAAACCACAAATAATACAGGAAACCAGACGATACTTGTTATACTATAAACTACCCTGTAAAACAAACAAAAATTGAAAAACAAAGCAACCAAAGAAAAAGCCTGTTACAAATGTGACTACAAAAGTAACTTATTACTCCACACGCTCAAACCCACAAAGCGGAACATTTTGGAGGGAAAAAAAAAGCAGAAAAATGTCTCCTGACTTTTTTCAAAAAACCTTTTCTTTTCCTAAAAATGGAAAAAAAAAGTCTGTTAACTTATTTCAAAAACCTGTTTCTTTTTTTTAAAGGAAAAAATGTCCTTTAACTTATTTCAAAAACCTATATTTTTTTTAAAAAGAGAGAAAATGCCCTACATTACTTTTTCAAAAACCTATTTAATAAAAAAAAAAAAAAGCAGGAACATTTCCTTAACTTAAAAAAAACCCCAACAACAAACAAACAAAAACAAAAATTAAAATATCGTGAAACATCAACTGACTTGTTACTGGCTTTCCTCTCGGCCAAATTGGCCATGTAGTCGACCATCTCTTTGTTGAGATCTGAGAGACGATTGGTTAGCTCGTGGGCGTGGCTCAGGGACTCTTCCACTGTGCTGGACATCTGGGGGAGGGGGGGTGGGGGGGGGATGTCAGCGTAAGTGGAAGTGTATGTGTATGTGGAAGTGGAAGTGTATATATATGTGGAAGTGTATGTGTGAGTGTATGTGTGAGTTTATGTATAAATGTAAGTGTATGTGTATGTGTAAGTCTAGTTAGGTATATGTGTAAGTGTGAGTGTATGGGTATGTGTATGTGCATGTGTAAATGTCAGTGCAAGTTGAAGTGTATGTGTAAGTGTATGTGTATGTGTAAGTGTATGAGTAAGTGTATGAGTATGTGTAAGTGTATGTGTAAGTGTATGAGTATGTGTATGTGTAAGCGTAAGTGTATGTGTAAGTGTATGTGTAAGTGTAAGTGTATCATGTGTAAGTGTATGTGTATGTGTATGTGTATGTGTATGTGTATGTGTGTGTGTATGTGTATGTGTAAGTGTAAGTGTATGTGTAAGTGTATGTGTATGTGTAAGTGTATGTGTATGTGTGTGTGTGTGTGTGTGTGTATGTGTATGTGTATGTGTATGTATGTGTACGTGTAAGTGTATGTGTGTGTATGTGTATGTATGTGTATGTGTATGTGTATGTGTAAGTGTAAGTGTATGTGTATGTGTATGTGTATGTGTAAGCGTATGTGTATGTGTAAGCGTAAGTGTATGTGTATGTGTAAGTGTATGTGTAAGTGTAAGTGTATCATGTGTAAGTGTATGTGTATGTGTATGTGTATGTGTATGTGTATGTGTGTGTGTATGTGTATGTGTAAGTGTAAGTGTATGTGTAAGTGTATGTGTATGTGTAAGTGTATGTGTATGTGTGTGTGTGTGTGTGTGTGTATGTGTATGTGTATGTGTATGTATGTGTACGTGTAAGTGTATGTGTGTGTATGTGTATGTATGTGTATGTGTATGTGTATGTGTAAGTGTAAGTGTATGTGTATGTGTATGTGTATGTGTAAGCGTATGTGTATGTGTAAGCGTAAGTGTATGTGTATGTGTAAGTGTAAGTGTATCATGTGTAAGTGTATGTGTATGTATATGTGTAAGTGTAAGTGTATGTGTAAGTGTAAGTGTATGTGTATGTGTATGTGTAAGTGTATGTGTATGTGTATGTGTAAGTGTATGTGTAAGTGTATGTGTAAGTGTAAGTGTATGTGTATGTGTTTGTAAGTGTATGTGTAAGTGTATGTGTACGTGTAAGTGCAAATGTATGTGTATGTGTTAGTGTAAGTGTAAGTGTACGTGTAAGTGTATGTGTACGTGTAAGTGTATGTGTAAGTGTAAGTGTAAGTGTATGTGTACGTGTAAGTGTATGTGTACGTGTAAGTGTAAATGTAAGTAAAGTAAGTTTAAGTGTAAAGGATTAACGGCCCTGTCAACACCAGTAAGTTATTCAACAACTCTGAGAAGATGGCACATCCACTGACTAGAATATGCTGTATTACTGCTGCTTTTTGGGTCTTGTTTTTCCTATTTATCACACTTTGTGGCTACGTTTCCTATCTC